TACTTAGTAAACACTTAGAGCATGCACAGATGAAGACCAACTGCAACTCAGTAAAAGGGAAAACTTTCTAATTATCAGAGATATCCTCAGGTAGATGGGCTCCTAGTGAGTGCACCACCATCAGGGAAAGGAGTGTAAGCTGCATGGATGTGGATTCCTAAAGACACTAACTGTGACCCCGTCACACAGGAATCACCTAGAGTATTAGTTACTGATAGAAATTCTCCACTCACGAAATCCTGATGCTACAGGTCTAGGGCAGGCCAGAAATCTGTGTTAGGACCAAGGTCCCCAGGTGATTTTTGAAGCATATCTGCATTTGGGGACCATTGAACTTTGTGACCTTTGAGGCCATTTGCAATAATGGTTTGTGTGTGAAGGCTCTTCATAAACTGTGAAGTGCTGTCCACGAGTCTTGGCTTCAGATACTACCTGAGCCTGGAGACTGAGGAATTGAAGCTTCAGCCTGGGACTACAGCTCCTCGGATTCTGGGAGGTTGCGGACCCAGCCCTGAGCCACCCTGTTGAAGCTGGGTCTGAGGCGGAGGAGTTCCAAGCCACTGAAGGGCTCCGAGACAAAAGGGGTGCCTGCCCTGGGAATGGTCTCCCCCATGAGGGGTCCTCCAAATGGCACTGGGGTCCTGGGAAAAGAGCAACAGGAAAGGTGGGCTGTGTGGAGCAGGGATGGCAGAACGCTGACATTCAGGTCACATGTGGCCCCTACCTGCCTCTCTCTGGACCTTGTATACAGCAAAGATTTTTCACTATGGTTAACAGGTTTCTCCAGTTCTGCCCTCTACCAAGTCTGCCCCTAGTGGGGAAGGAGTAAGAGATTTTCCTTCCTCTTGTTACCTCAACTTAGAACAAAGTACCCACAAATTGGAGAGAGCAGGAAGGATCCAAAAGAGCAGCAAGAATCGGGGAAATGCAAATCACCACAGAGATTTGCCATTTCTCCCCCAAAAGACTGGCAAAAGGAAATAACTTGATAATGAGGCAACATTGATGAAGGTGTAGGGGCGGTTTCACTCGTAGTCGGGTGGTTAGAGCACAAATTGGTGCTGCTACCTCGGAGAACAATTCAGTGGGATCTTCTGAACCTTGAATCTATGTCAACTCTGTCACTCAGCAACTCCATCTCTAAGCGTGGAGCTCAGGGAGGCTCATGCATGTAAGCACAAGGAAGTAGACATGAATGGTGTATTAGTGACAACCAGAAACAGCTCAGATGTCCCCTGGCAGAGGATCGGACAAGACAGAAATTGTGTGTCACAGGACAGAATTCTTGCAGCTTAAAAGGAAAGAACTAGATCTACAGGTATCCATCCGTGTGGTAGATTTCAAAAGCATAATGTAGGATGAAAAAAGCCAGTTACAGAATAAAACACAAAGTATCAAAATACTTGCATACTCATAAACCAAAGCCACAAGCTGTATAGTATGCCACGGCCTTAACAATGTGTTCCAAAAACACACAGGCCCACGGCACAACAGGGCTACCTTTAGAAAGGTCCCTGGGAAAGGGACCTGGGGGACAGTAAACAAAGGGCCCTGCTTTTATTTGAAGTTGCCTATTTTTTTTTTCAAAGAGAATGAATGTGTGTGATTTTAAAACAATGTTTTAATCCTAAGGAAAACATAAAGCACTGCTCGTGTGGTGTCTGCCTGCAGCAGGGGCCAGTGGGGAGAGGGGTGGAAAGACACACCATGGGCCAGAGCCTGGGATCCTGCCAGGAAAGCACTGCTGCCTGGACCACCCCAGCTTTGGCAGCAACAGCCAGGCCCTGCGGGAACAGGCTGGGCAGTGTCCAAGCCAAGCAGGCCTCACAGTCGGGGCCTTGACTGGAAGCCCAGAGCCCAGCATTCTGAGCCCCACTGGGCCCCCAATACCGCTGTCCCTCCTCTCTATGCCTCAGTTCCTCCTTCTGTCTCAGATGAGGTCTGGGCCCAGGACTCCCTATGGCCTTCCCCCTGCTGGTGGGAATGTGCCTCCGCCTGTCAATCAGAGGTCTGAGATGGGTAGGAGATGTGCTCAGAGCCAGCCAGCCTGGAAGCTGGCTGCCAGCACTGAAGTCTGCGTCGGGTTTTAAATAGCAGGGCAGGCGGGATCTGAGGGCCCAGGAGGAGGACAGGGCCGCCCTGGCTGGCAGGGGAGTCAGAATGTCTGCCAATGGCTCGTGGCTCACACAGCGCCTGTTGGGCCTGATTCTTCCCATCAGGGCCTCCCAGGGTATTGTCACCTTTCTCCTGAGCCATCTCTTCTCAAGGCTGATCACCCCCCCACAATTCCCACCCTTCAGTCCTCCCTAAAAGTGCCTCAAAACGTCCTAGCCAGGCCCTGGAGTGCACCCATCTGTCTCTATCAGACAGACACAGTCTCCACGTGTGGTCTGAGGAGGTGCCAGAAGAGCTGGACTGTAGCCTCCTCTCTGTGGACACTTCTTTTCCTCACTTAATATAGCCTAAGCCAAAGGAGTAGGTTCAAAAATAGATGTGGACTGAGGAAGCCAACTGCAACTGAAATGCACCCCCAGTCCAGGGTCCGCCTCCAAGTCAAGCTCCAGTCTTGACTCCTATGGTCTGCTTTTGGATCCCCAGGGCAAAATACTACTGAAGTTCTCCCTTTTTAGCTCTTCCAACCATCATTTCAGCCTGCAGTAACAGTAGTAGTAGCACCTGTAGCTAATGTTTATTGAGAACTTATTACTTGCCAGAACTTTGCCTGTGGCTTCTCATGTCATCCTCATGGCAATGCTGTGAAGTAGGACAGGTGGGGCAATGGAGACTCAGAGAGGTTAAATTGCTTACCCAAGTTCACACAGCCAGGCCTGGAGTCTGCATTTAAATCCACACGGAGAACTTATGCACTAAACCAATCATCTATGACACTCCTTTGTGGCCCTGACCTCTGGCCCCACTCCCAGCTTTGGGCAGCCTCACAGCCACCTTGGAGATCTCTTCCACACCCTTGATGCAAGTAAAGAGAGGCTGGGTTGGCCTTGGAATGGGGAGATCTGGGGCTCTCCAGGACAGAACTGGATGTCCATCATAGAGGTGGCCCACAGCAGTGACAACAAGACACCAGCTCTGGAGTCAAACAAACCCAGGCTTGAATCCCAATCCTGCTGCTCCCTCCTTGTTCTGAGACTTGGGGCAGGTCGTTCCTGAACCTCGGTCTCTTCATTGGGCAGAACAGAGGAAATCAAGGCACCGGGACCCCATCTTGTGGGAATACAAGAAGACTGGGGCACGTTCACCATTCATTCTTCCTACGTTTATGAAGCACCTACTAGGTGCTGAGGCACTGTTCTAGCAGGACATCAATAAGTACATATGAAGTGCTGGAACTAGAACTTGCATGTGGAAAGTACTAGGAAATTCGGGCTACTGCTATGGTACCCTGTGCGTCCTGGGCTCTCCCCCAAACTGCTGGTGGCGCGCCCCGCCTGGCCTTACTTGTTGAAATTCCGATAGTCTCGCAGGTTGGGGGTGTAACTTGGGCCATCGCTCAGGTAGTCCCGGTAGCTGATGAACTCCTGCCACGGGCAGCGATAGCCCTTGGGGATGGCGGTGTGGTTGAACTTCTCAGGCGGCACGCCTTTCAGGGGCTCCGCGTAGCCTGCGGGAGAAGCAGCTGTGGGTGCCCCGAGGGAGGTGAAGAAGCGGCGCCTGGGCTGTGTCTCCGCCGCCCCACTCCCATCCCCACCCAGCTGACGAGGTTGGGGGCGGAAGGCTGGAGTTAGGAGGAGTGGAGAATGGAATGTCACAGTTGCTCCAGCAAAGGGGACCCTCCCTCATCCCAGGAAGGACCTGAGCAAGTGAACCTAGGGTTCTTCTAGTTTGGGATCGGATTCTGACTTGCTGTGTGACCTTGGGCGAACGGCTGCCACTCTCTGGGCTTGTGTTCTGACCTGGTGTGTTGGGGGGCGCGGTCGCTCCCTGCGTTTCAGCCCTGGTGGCCAGGACTCAAAGCGGCCACTCACCTGGCGCCAGAGCGCTTGGGCTATGGGCCGACACCGCTGCTGGGTGGGAGTCCTCGGGACCCCCGGGCGAAGCTGGGAAGACGTGGAGCTCCGAGCGGTAGTTCGGCCCCTCGGGGCCATTGGCAACCTGGACACAGGGCAGGGCGCTCAGAGGCTCGGACAGCCACAGACAGCTGCCCCGCCCCTTCCCGCAGCTGCCCCTTCCCGCAGCTGCCCCTCCCGAGGGTCTCCCTCCGCGCTCACCATTCCCGCCTCGGCGCTCACCATTCCCGCCTCCGCGGTTCCAGTTACTCTCCTCTTGGCGCTTCCGGCCAGGATCTGTGGGGGTGGGGGGATAAACCACAGGGAGGCTCAGGGGGCACGGTGCCAGGGTTCTCCTCCATCCAAGAGAGAGAGAGAGAGGGAAAGGGCAAGAACCCTCGCATTCATCTCCAGAGCATGTTAGAAGGATGGACGGTTACAACACTAGGCTCAGTGCCTGGAACAGAAGAACGCTCGCTGTTCCCTGCACTTGTCATGGAGTCTCAACAAGATACTTCCCTGAGCCCCAGTTCTCTTCTCTTTCAAGTGGGCATCACCATCACCATGATGATGGTATCTACCTCCGAGCACTCCAAGCAAGGATACACTGGAAAGCGCTTGGCTAGCACTGTCTGGTGCACGGCAGAGGTAGGTGTTTTGGCATTCTTATTGTTCCCGTCACATCGTTCCCTCTCGGTGGCCTCTTGTGTGGCTCAGAAATGGAGTGGAGTACAGATAAAGTACTTCGGTTTTCACTACAAGTACCTGAAACTGCCTGCAGCCTTTTCCAAGCCTGGGAATAAACCATTTCCACCCCCACTTTTCTGCCAGCAGATTGTTCCATGACCTTTTTCTTCTTCAAGTAGAAAGACAAAATTTTAAAAAGCATCATGCGTTTTCCATCTTAGATCAAGCCGAAGTCTGAACTAACTCCTGCCCACTGCAATTTAGCCCAGAGCACACGGCTGTTCTTTATCAGTTTCTGTACCCCCAGGACTGCACAGCTCCTCCTCCCAATGCACTTTGTGGTTTGTCTCTGGGAGAGATGCCTGCAGGAGAACCCTTTTCAAGAATCACAGCAAAGCAGGGGCTCGGTCGGATGGGGGCACCCCAGTCTCCCCAGCTGCAGAGACTCTCCAGGAGCCAGAGATCCTTGGCCAGGCTCTCTGTCTGGCTCTTTCTTGGCCTCAGTTTCTCCATGAGCACAATGGAGACCTACTCACCGCCCGCTGACTCTCCTCCAGCTCGAAGGTGAACCTTTGCACCCGGCGCTGCCTCTTCTGGAAGAGGAGGGATCCTGGGTTGTTGCGAAGTGACAGCTCCTCTATCATCAGGTCCTGGGGCACGCTCAGCTTCTTCCCCAGGTCCAGTGTAGGGACTGCCCGGAGAGGCCAGAGAGAGCTTTACTACCCAACCCCCAAGGCACTCCTGGCCACTGCCTTGAAGGCACCTGTCACAGCATCATATGCTGTGTACCAGAACCGGCTGCTCCACTCACACTTGATGAAGCTGGGAGTCGCCGGGTTCTGGACTCCTTGCCCACCTGATGATGGTTTGCCCTGCTCAGAACTGAATTATTTGAGCATGATACTCTGTTCTTTGGCCATTTGTACCTATGTCATAAATCTCTCATGCAGGTTCTTGCCCACCGTGGTGAAGGTGTGAGAAATGGTCAGATTCTAAATTTTTTAAATAAACCACAGGTGCCGAGTGTGAGGAGAGAGTTAACTGCAAGATTTCTGACCTGAGTCAGCAGAAGGGGCTCAGTGAGATGGAAAAGGATGAGGGAAGAGAAACACCAGAAGTCTGATTTTAGACATCTGTCTTTTAAATTTTTTATTATTATTATTATTTGTGGTGCTAGGGATTGAACCCAGAGCCGTGTGCATGCAAGGCAAGCACTCTACCAACTGAGCTGTATCCCCAGACCCTTGATTTTTTTTTTTTAAGAATGGGGCTTCATATGTTGCCCAGACTGACCTTGAACTTGTAATCTTCCTGCCTCAAACTCCTGAGGCATGTGCTACCATGTCCAGCTCTCTTTTAAGTTTTAAATAGTCTCTTATTATTATAAAAACGTAAATATGCATTTTAAAAGTTAGAAAATTTAGGCATAAGTAAAAAAAAAAGAAAAAGAAATATCATTATCTGTCCCTCAAAGATTGCCAGTATTAACACTGCAGTGTATGACATTTCATGTCCTTGTTGTTTTTTTTTTCCTTTCTTTCTTTCTTTCTTTCTTTCTTTTTTTTTTAAGAGATAGGGTCTCACTGAGTTGCTTAGAGCCTTGCTTTTGCTGAGGCTGGCCTTGAACTTGTGATCCAGCTGCCTCAGTCTCCCAAGCTGCTGGATTGTAGGTGTACGTCACCACACACGGCTTCAAGTCTTTTAATAACTACATATTCATATGTGAGTTTTTAATGAAATCATAGCAAACATGCTTTGTAACTTGTTTTTATCAATTAAAGAGACATCACTTTTCCAAATGAACATATTTTGTTTTTTTCTAATATATCTAGTCTATATTTAAACTCCCAATTGTGTTCAAAATTCAGTTTGAGGAGCCTTGCAGACACCCAAGAAATGCTGAGTAGGGCATGTGTCTCTGATGTTCATGAAAGAAAACTGACCTGCAGATTTTAAAAAATTAGAGACTTGTGAGCTTATAAATGGTATTTTGTTGCCGTTGTTTTTCAATGCAGAAGATTACATTTCTTTCCCTTCTGATGGTTAGGATTTGTCATCTGGCTGATGACTGTCCTTAGTAGTGTGGGATCCATTCCCAAAATCTATGCTTTCCCTGCCGACAAAATGCAAACTTTTACATTTGACTAAGGAGAAAAGCTTTTTGGTGGACAGAGTGAAAGGAGAGCAGAAGGTATGTCACCACCAGCATGGCCAATGTTGTCCAACTGAAATCAGATACAGGGCAGGAGGTGTAGCTCAGTGGTAGAACACTTACCTAGTATGGGCAAGGCTCTGGGTTCAAATCCCAGCCAGAAGAAAATTAATGAATTAACTAACTTATTAAAATAAAATCGGAATCACACAGGCTCATGTGCCAGCTCTATAAAATGATATTTTAAATCAGGAAGCTGAAAAAGACCAGGAAGAAATGAGAAAAGATAAAGAGAGTCAAGACCGAGCCCTGAGGTTTCCAACATTTAGATGAGAGAAACCTGGAGCCTGGGAAGGAGCAGTTAGCTGGTGAGGGAGAAAAAAAAAAAAAAAACATCTAAAGAGGATGGTGTCCTGGAAATTAAATGCTAGAAGATTTCTGGGATAACAAAGTGACCAAGAGGTCAAGTGCTGCTGAAAATTGACTCTCGTATTTAGTAACATAGAGTCCCTGGTAATCTTCACTAATGCTGTTTCTATGGAGCATTTGGGTGTGAAAGTCTGATTGGAGAGGGTTCAAGAGAAAATGGACAGAGAACAAGCTTACACATCCCACAGGGGAGCGGTAGGCACGGCCAGGACTTGGAACGTTCTACACACAGGGCAACTGGCCTGTTTTCTTCAAACAAGTCAATGACATGGGAAAAGGGGGCGGGTTGTTTTAGATTAAAAGAGATTTAAGAGGCATGGCAACCAAATAAAAACTATGACCCTTGTTTAGATCCTGATTAAAATAAACTAGAAAACTAGAGAAAGCTGAATATGGGACTGACTAGTAGATGTTGTTAAATCATTACTGCTAATTTTGCTGAATGTGCTAATATTTTTTAGTGGCATGTAAGGAAATGTCTTTTTTCTTATTTTCATGGATGCTGAAGAATATAGGGGATGCCATGAAGTGCTCTTGGGTATTTGCTTGGGGATCCAGGAATAAAGGGTGGCACCCTCTACTTACGTGTGTGTTTGGAAACTGGCATATGACGTGTTAAAAAGACAGAATGGGAAGAAAAGCTTGGACAACGGCTTGCAGAAGCTATGCTTTCAAGGCCTATGGCAGGCAGCAGGCTGCATGGGATCCAGGGGACTTTTTTGTAACGGGGAGATAATGGCCTGAGTGTTAGCTGTGGGGACCATCTGATAATGCACAAGGGAGAAATGCTGGAGGAATGTCCTTGAGCCTGAGAAGGGGCAGAGCAGGGTGTCCTGTCCAGCTAGAAGGGCTGGCACCAGACAGGTGTGAGGAGCGCTCATCACCCTCTCAGGCAAAGAAGGATTGAGAACAGATGCAAGCCAGTGCACAGATGTGGCAAAGGGGGCTTGCAGATGTTTTCTTTGAGCTACTATATTTTTCTCAGCGAAAACTATAGTAGCAAGGTCACTAGCTGAGAGTGAAAGTGGGGGAAGAGGTACTGGAGGCTTTGGGTTGCCAAAGTCACCTCAGAGAGTAAGACATCTGGAAGGGTGTCCAGGCTGGGAAGAGGGATGTAGCTGCCAGCAGCAATGAGGGCCACCCAGGTGCTGCGGTTTACCTGCACAAGACTCCTGGGCTCTACTCCTAAGGATTCCACCCTCATGACCCCCATTAAAGGTTGATTAAATATAAAGGACATGTTCACACACAGGGGAACTTAGGGGAGGGAGGCAGTAAGATAAGTCAAGGTAGTGTGCAAAGGAATCCGTGATATGTTGCTAAGTGTAAAAAGGAAGTAGCCGAAGAATACAGTACACAGTGTTTAGCCTATGTGTATGTGCATCTATATAAACATGTCATATGTAGACAGAAGAACTTACACAAAAACGTTAACAGTGATCATCTACAGATAGTTCCATTATGAAGAACTTTCACTGTCAAAGTCGTTCATGGTGTTTTGTCTGAATAGTTTTAAAAATGGATGTATTCTGCCAGATATGGTGACACATGCCTGTAATCTCAGCAGCTCGGGAGGTTGAGGCAGGAGGATTGCAAGTTCAAAGCCAGCCTCAGCAACTTAGAAAGGCCCTAAGCAACTCAGTGAGAGCCTATCTCAAAATAAAAAAATAAAAAGAGCTGGGGATGTGGCTCAGTGGCTAAGCACCCCTGGGTTCAGTCCCTGGTGTGAAAAAAAAAAGAAAAAGAAAAAGATGTATTTTCTGCATAATCACATAGAAGAAGCAGTTTTGGAGACAGAAATTGCAAATCAAATTTCAGCTCTGTTACCCAGAGGTGTGCAGAAACCTCACTCCTTGCGTCAAAATTTTTTTCATCTGCAGAATGGGAACAATAATATCTAACTTGTAGAATTGTTTTGGGGCTCAAATGAGAAGATGCAAATCTCCTAGCACACTGACCCAGTAATCATCCAGTAAGGATGGTGTTTTTATTATTACTATTTTTAAATGACTTTTTAAGAGGTGAGACCGTGAGATTTCTTTTTCTTTCCTATTTTTCTTTCATTTCAAAATCTTTAATTAGTGGCTTAGCAATTCTCAACTAGTTATACATTTCAAGAGTGGCATAAATGATGTGTGTCAATGTTTAGAGGACTCTAATTAATTACTCAGACAACAGAAATGAGGAGGCACTGCCCGACTCTTCCAACTGAAGTATGAGTATCTCACAATGTTTGCATATTTCAGCACACAAAAGTGGGGGTGGGGGAGGCTAAAAGAAACACGACACCAACAATAGGAGGCAAGAACACACAAACTAGCGAGGTTAAAGGTTTGCATATAAAGCACAACTTGATTGATTGCTTCTTAGGACTGACAGAGGCCAACTGCACAGGGGCCCTTGGACAAGCATTTCTCAGAGGGAGCTCACTGTCACCAGCTTTGAAGTCACCTTAACACTTGTCCAAAAGGCAAATGTATGCGCCCCCCCCCCCAAGGTCTATGAAATCAGAGACCCTGGGGGTAGATGTTGTGAATCCTTATTTTTAATCAAAAACATAGAACCACTATGACCCACACTAAAGCTTGAGGGTCCCCCCTGAGTTGAATTCATTTTTAAAATATTTGAAATGCTCTAATGTAGACCAAATAAGCAGACTTCAAAATTATGCCAGGAGTTCATGTAGAGGTCTTACAAGGTTGATAAACATGGTTTTAGATGATTTATTCTTTAGATGAGCCAGCTTTGAAGTAAGATGGTTTGAGTTTGACGGAGTGGCCTGCTCTGGCTCTCCTGCCATGCTATCCCCCACCACTAGTGTTGAGCCCTGGGCTGGGCCGCCTGGGTCATCCTGAGGCCCACGAGAGGCCTGTAGGTACCATTAGCAGGAACAAGTAGGCCAGAACTTGTGGCTACAGTTGACCTGGGACCAGAGCCTTCAAGGATTGATTTAGGGCAGAAGGAAGGCCTTAGCTGGGACCAAGGCCAGGGTCATCTTGGGGTCAGAACCCACTATGGGGCATTTAACCCCAGCTCCTGGCCTGTGGACATAAGGGCAGGGCCCCTTCAAAGCCTCAGGAAATGCCTGGGCCCAGGTGGCAGATTCCACAGGCACTCCCTCAGGGCTCTGGAACTCACACCTGCTTGCTAGCCTGGGGCCAGCAGGCCTGAGTGACCACAATCTGGGACCAAGAGAGGAGTTTGAGGAAAGCATAGGACTGGGCCCATCTTACCTGGTCCAGCAAGGTCCCCCATGACAGCCATCACTGGCTCCTTCTGCTCCTTGGGGATCATCCTGTGGAGGAGACACTCCCACAAATAGGCCAGGCTGTCCCCTTCCTCCCTGAACCTCTCCCTCCCAAGGCTTCCTCCAAGTCCCCGGTCCATCCAGCCCCAGCCCTGGACAGTCTTGACCCACCCCCAAATCAATAGCAAGGGTGAAAGGGCCTTTCAGGTCTTTTTTTAGAAGGGAGGAGATTGAGACTCAGGGAGGATAGGGGAGGTGCCTGGGGTCAGACAAATTGGGTCCATGTTGCTAGGGAGGCACTAAGAGCCATCCTGGGTCCTCCCCCAGTGCCCACCCTGCACTGACTTCCACAGTGTTCTTTTCTCCCTCGACCCTCCTCTTCTTCTTCCTGCATCTCCCCTTTTTCATCTCATGGGCACTTTCCAGGAATCTTGGAGACCATTTGTCTTTAAAATAAGCCCTAGAGCCTCAGAGAACCCTTGCAGGCCCCAAACCCAGATTACGAACTTTTTCCCAGGGAAGGAGGCAGCACCCTTGGGCTCTCTGGCTGACCGCCTACCCCAGTCCCCCTCTCCTTTGATTCCAGGTCTCACCATATTCCTTCCCTCAGGAAAAAAATTTGCCCCTATCTGTGTCCCCCCCACACACATCTGCAAGGACCCTGGGTTAGTCAGTGGACACTAAGCTAAGCAACCTGCAACTGTGAACAAGTAGCTCTCCAGCTCTGAGCCTCGGTTGCCCCCTATGTGATTTAAGAGGGTTGGGCTAATCATAGGAATCCATGCTGAGCTTTGGGGTATCATGAACAGTTAAAACTGTAAGTAGACATGAGTGTGACCACACACATTTGGGGTGATCAAGAGTTGATAGAGAGTGCCCCCACTCTGATCTTTAGAATGCCACAGTCCCCAGATCTATTTCTGGATAAACATTCCCCTTACCAGAATTGACAGGTGCTGGGAAGGGGTCCTATTTACAGACAGGAATCGACTTCCCTTCGCTGCCTAATGACTCTGAAGTTCTGGGCAAAGCCATCATCAATCCCCAACCTTTAATCCTAGTCGCCCCCTCTCCATGTAATGGAGAGAACCTAGAAGTTGTTCGCGTCCTCCCAACCAGGATCCAGGCTTTCATGAGGCCCCAAACTCTCCGGATCCTCTGCAGGGCCCTGTCCCTGCTGGGGGAAGAGGTCCTCTGGGAATTGCCTAGCCTCCTCCACCCACTCCCCACAGCTCCCCCAGCTCCCTTAGGATCCTGGTACCTGAGAGGGTGAAACCACAGTGGTCAGGAAGGAGTATCCGACCCTCAAGATTAACACCTTTGTCGGGAAGCTGAGAGTTGCGTGGTCAGTGTCTGTCACAGTCGGCGGTCAGCGGTCAGTGATCAGGGTGTGCCCTGTAGCCAGCTCTGGCTTCAGCTGACGAGAATCATTCTTGCCTTGTCGTGGGTCACAGCCTTATTTCGGGCTGCAACAGGAGCTGGGGCCAGATGCTAAAAGAAAGCACCAGGCCCTAGGGAAGACAGGTGCTCCGGCAGCAGGCCCTTGCAGACAGAAGGGCTTGCACCCACGGGTACACATGCACAAGCGCACATGTCCAGGTCACCTGGAAATACTGAGAATCAGCTGCTGCTCACTTCAACTTGTTAACTGTCATGTTCTTAGGCCTACAATAGTGTTGGATAGGAGCTCAATAGATATCTGTTGGATAAATGAATGTGTGGATGGATGAATGAACTCTTCCTGATATTTTTGCTTGACTTATCCTTTGTCTCCTTCCTTCCTCCTCTCTTCACTCCCTCCCTCCACCTTCTCACATTCTCTAAGCCTCTCTCTTGAACTGAAAATAATAAGCCAGGGCCCTGTCCTCAAAGACCTCTCTCAGGCCACAAGCCTTGTGATGCATCATGGGAAAGTCTTTGGGAGAGCCCAGGGGAGCAGGGGAGCCTGTCACCAACTCAGCCTGGAGGGTGGAGAGGCTTTCCACAAAGGGAGACATTTGACTTGGGCCTTGAAGGATGAGTGAGAGTTCCTGGGACAGAGGTGGGTAAAGGCAGTGCAGGTGAAGGACACAGCACTGGTAAAGACGGTAAGAGGTTGGACAGTAGAACCAGAGCCAGGGTCGTGGGGCCATGGTGTGAGATGAGGCCCAACTGGTGGGCAGGCGTGAGATCACAGCAGGCTCCTCAGAAGGAAGCTGTGATGAAGGCCACTGAGGAAACTCACTGGTGAAGTGGAGTGGTCAGATTGGCATTTGCCACGGATATCTGGCTACCAAGGGGAGCAAGGTGAGACAGGGGTGGCTAGCCTGGGCAGGGACAGAGGGGATGGAGAAGAGAAGGGGCATCAAGGGTACTTGGAGAATCCACAGGTCTCATTGAGGGATTGAAAGTGAAAGGGGAGAAATGGGAGCTGCCCCTGACTCCTGTGTCTGACTCGGGAACTAAGGTAAGAAACGGGCAGGAGCAGGGTGGGGCAGGGGCAGAGACAGCTCTGTTGGAAGCAGCTCAGTTTGAGATGTCGGGTACTAAGGTGAAATCAACTGTAAGCAGTAAGTAAACTTCAGAGGTTCCATCTGAAGTTGTGGCTGGGTCAGAGGCATACAAACCACTCCTGAGAAAGTGTGGGCACAGGAGAGACAGGAACACCCATGCCTATGTTTTGGTGAAGTTGTTCCAGGGCATAATTCTGACACCTGGTAGGGACAGAAGACTGGAGTCTGCTGTGGTCCTTTCCCCTGGGCATCTCTGCTCAGTGTCTGTTGGGCCTGAGCGTCTAGAGAAGAAAGGCAAGTGATGTCCGCCAGGAAGGCTTGCCCTCAACTGCGACTGGGCCACAATCTTCTTCTTTAGGCAAAGGATATAGGAGAAGACTACTCCTGAAAGTCTGGGTCCTGGCCTCACTAGCGTCCAGACTCAGATGTGACTCTTCATAATGACTCCTGTTCCTGCCCTGGATCCCTGACCTTCCACAAGGAAGCAGCCCTAGAACACCCTGACCCAGGTAGGCCCTGCCCACTCCAGTGTCAGTGACATCGAATCAGGGCCAGGACAATATCACCCTGAGACATTATCTGATCTAACTCTCTCATTACAAAGATGAGGCTGTAGCTCAGTGGCAGAGTGCTTGTTGCGCATGTGTGAGGCACTGGGTTGATCCTCAGCACCACATAAAAATAAACAAATAAATAAAAGCAAACTACCTATTTTTTTTAAATTTAAAATGAGGGGAAAGTTGAGACCTGCTGGAGTGGGCTCACTCAGAGCCACCTAACTAGTCAATGATGGAACCAGGATTTCAACCCAGGGACAACACAACTTCTATGGTTCTAAGTTTTTCCATTGTTCACCGTCTCTCCTCAGGGCTGCATACCCCCAAGTTCTCAGTCCATGTGTCTCAGGATATTCCCCCCCGCCCCAGTGTCCCATGGACTATGCCACATCTGGGGAGAAGGGAAGGGCTTTAGCTAAGCCAAAATGACACCGGAGGCAGAAGAATGCAGGAAGCATTTATTTAGCTGAATTCTACTGGAGGTTAGAGGCAGTACACAAGCAATCTCTTATAACGGTTAGAGGAGAGGGTCAGGGAGAAGGCAATCCTAAGGAGAGAACAGTCAGAGAAAGAACTGCAGCTTCCCAAGGCTGCCTCCTGCTGGCTCTGTGGAGAAATGCAGTTAGAAATGGTTCCTCTTTGCCACTGCATCAGCCAGAGGCCTCAGTTTCTCTTCTCTAGGAGGAGGTACTCATAGCCCTGGTTTCCTATGCTACAAGGGTCCCTGCAGGTAGGGGGCTTTGATAAATGTAGTCACTTATTAAATGAGGAGGAGTCCCATCTCATCTTCCTACCAACAGGGCATATGTCCCCAGGCCCTAAGAACCCTCTGGGATCACTCCTTTATTCCAAAGTGTGCCCCATCCCAATCCTGATTCTCTTCCATCATGACCCTTGCTTTCCCTAGCCTTACATGGAAGATTCTATGACTAATGTTACTCTGCTGGGTGGGTAAGTCTACCCTTAACCCCAAATCATACTGTTCCTCACCTTTAGCAACATCCTAATATTCTTTCTCCTACATATACTTGATGCTCAACCAGTTTCAGCTACCATTCTGCTGCATCCTGGCAAAGTATTCTGAATCTGATCATCTGAACTTCTAGAGGACCCCACCACTCAGCTCTGGAAACTACAGAACAGCCACATTCCTCTCCAGTTCCCTCCTAGGGACTAGAATCAGCTAAGAAGGATGGCTAGGGCCTGTAGCTAGGCTCCTCAAGGTCACTGGGACCAGGCATGAGCTAGGCCAGACTGCAATGATAAAGAGTTGGGTGGGACAGTGCCCACTCCTCTGGTTATGATAAGGACACTGGGGCTGTGGCCTAAAACTGAAGAGGGAGGCACTTCCTAAGTGGCCAGAACCTAGGCTGACTCTGGCCTAATCCTTCACTTACTACCTAAGCTCATCTGCCCCTGAATTCAAGCTCAGCAGATCTGTGACAACCACCCTTCCCACTTCCTAATACCATGTAACGCATCTGAGGACTGGGAGAGCCCTTGGAGGTGATCTGAGACAATCTATCTCCTGTTAGACTCTCCTTTGTGCATCCTGGCTTGCATACTTTCTATAACAAGGTACTTTTTGCCTCTCTCTTTCCAAATGGGCAGCTCCAAACTGAGGGCAATAGGTAAGGCCAGAGGGTAACTCTATTTCTTCTTCTCTCTTCAGCCCAGCTTTGAGACCAGAACCTGCCATGAACAGGCCCAGAAGACAGGCAGGTTGGAGGCCCAAGACTGCAGAAAATTATTGTCCTGGCTGCAGAAGAGATGACCTGGGATGGAGAAAGTAGTGTGACAAGACCCAGGAAGAATCTTCCTGCTCCTTTTCTCCAGAGGAACTAGTAAGGCACCTTGAGCTGGCTTGGGAGATCTCTCTAAAGGTCACTGGGTAAAAATAGAGCTTGTCCGAGAAGTGATGGAAAACAGCTGCTCCTGCCTGGGACTTGGTGCCAGGGAGGTGGGTGGTCAAGTCAGGGCCTGGACTGGGGACATAGCCTAGGTTCTTATGAATATACCCCTTATTTGCTCCAGAGAGCAAAGAGCCAAGAAGGGGTGTGGAACCCTGGAATGCAGCAAGTCCAAGGGTCCATATGCACAACTGAACCCTCCAAGGCACGTCTGTGTGTGTGTGTGTGTGTGTGTGTGTGTGTGTGTGTTTGAAAGAAGGAGAAATTTAGATGTTTGGCGACGGCCTTGTCCAAAGCTGCATTAAACAGATGAGAAAGCTGAGGGTCAGACGGAGGAAAGGTCTAGCCCAGGGTCATACCACTGAATGATACAGCCTGGATTAAAACCCAAGCTTGGGTACCTACTCCATCCAAGAGCCCAAAACGCTCTTTTCTGACCACTTAGCTCTGGGGCTATTCAATGAGGCCAGATCCGTTGGGGTCGTGGTGCGGGGATTCCCCAACACTGATGACTTCTCTTACTGCTGGGCCCTCCCGGGTGGGGCTTTAGGTGGTGCAGGAGGTCTCGGTGGGGAGGCTGCCGCGTTTGAGCCTCAGGCTACCGTTCCATCCTCGGGGACAGATGTTGTAGCCGAGGATGCCAGGCGATTTAACTCCAGAGTCCTCGGAATCAAGGGACACGTCGGAGTCCGTGGGTGAGCGGCGATAGGGAAAGGGCCTAGGCGGCGCAGGCACTGGGCTCCGGGGACTGGCGCAGGACCCGGGCCCGGCCAGCAAGGGGCTCGGCGGAATGGGCGTGAACGCCGCCCCCCTCGATACCCCTGGGTTGGAGCGGGTGGGCTGCGGCGAGCGCATGCGCGGTGGCGGCGGCGGCGGCGGCGGCACCCCGGGAGGAGAGAAGGGCCTCAGACTCTCGACGCCCGCTGGCCGCGGGGAGGCGCTCTTGCGCCGGGCCGCGTTGATGATGTTTCGCGCCAGGAGCGCTTGCAGCTGGCGGCTGGGCGGACGCACCTCGGTCTCGGTTCTCAGCGGAGATACTGAACGCTCGCTCCACGAGGGAGACATGGGCGGCGGCGGCAGCGGCGGGGGGCTTCCCATGCTGCTCCCGCGGCCCGGCTCCCACGGTCCTGGGCTCACCCAGCCGTCCAGGCTGCTGGGGGGCCGGGACGCGCTGGGCGTCCAGGGCGGGGAAATGGGCAGGCTCTCTTGGCGGTCCTGGGGAGAAAACAGAGAGGGTGAGAGCAGGTTTTTAGTGCTGGTTTTGGAAGGGACTGAGTCTGATTTGTATTTTCTATAAGGATAGAAATGCACTGACCAAAGTCAGGCAGAACCTGCAATGAAACCCAGGTGACCCAACTCCCAGCCCAGAATGTTTTTAAAAGCCCACGCTATCGGGGTCAGCCTCTGCTTTTAAACGGAGGACAAGGGGAAGGGACGATGACTAGAGTTAAAGAACGCTAGCTTTGGAGACAGACTTGTTAATTTATTGGCAAGCTCTTGCTCCCTCTGGGCTTTAGTTTCCTCTGTAAAATGGTACACTGTAGAGTCCTTGTGAGAGAGAGAGGTGACTCGTGTAAAAGACAGTTACATGTATTAGCATATTGCTTATAGGAAAGTGCTCAATAGATGTTAGTTACCATAAAGATAGTGGAGAGGTACATATGAAACTAACCGAAATGGTTACCTGTTAGGAAATAGTTTTATCAGTAGAGTCAGAGCATACAGCCTCAGGGGAGTGGGTCCGAGGCTTTTTAAGGTATTACTTTCTATAGAAGTTTAGATTTTTTTATGTGCATATATTATCTTTTTCAAGTTAAATTTAAGGGCTGGAATGTGGCTCAATGATACAGCACTTAGCTAGTGTGCACCAGGCCCTGGGTTCAATTTCTGGCACACACACACAAAAAAAGAGTTAAATTTAAAACTATTAGCTACTATTATTAAAGTTGGACTTAATGAAAGACTCCCTCAGCCCCAAACCATTTGCTATGTTGCTATAATGACCTCCTTATTTTTCCTTGATGCCTAAGATGGGAGTTCCTACTGACAGATGAAAGGCCAGTCGGTCTTCCCTAGGCAGCACATTCCCCTTTGTTGAACTTTTTGCTGGCACCAGGAGAGGAATGTGACTCCAGATGGTAAACATGCTTGAGGCTATAAAGCACTACTTTGCCATGCACTCTGCCATACCTGTTTCCTCCGTTCAAGGACTTGCCTGTCTGCAAGGTTGTTTCTCATCCTATATGTCTCGTTGATTCCTCACAACAAAGTGGTGAGGAGGTAGCGGGCATAGTCACACCCAATTTCCTAATGATGAAAATGAAGCTCAGAGGTGTAGATAGCAGCCCAGTATATTCTGCCATCCCCCCTCCCCTGAAATGTATGTGTAACTCTCTGCTGCTCAAAGGCTACCTCCCGTGTCACCAGTTTTATCTGGCTTGGAAGTGGAGGACTTGGAAATCCATGCCAAGCTTATATTTCTCTAACCATCGCACTGATGATCCTGTTGATCCAATCAGATTCCAGCAATATCCAGTCTACTAGGGTTCGCAATCCAATCCAAATTCACCAATAGCCATCCATCCATCTGAGTCCCTAGCTAGTCAGTCCATTCATTCGTTGCCTCGTACCCAATCAAATCTAGACCCACCCATAAGATCATTCTTTTCTCCAATCAGCAATCAGTCACAGTCAAGCCAGTCATCCTTTCAACCTATTGAAAAATCTAGTTTCTCCCAGAAAAAGGAAGCAATAGGCAGAGATTATACTGTTCTCCAAACACAAGGCAGCAGTGCTAGTTGAGCCCAGACTCTGGGAATAGAGCCCTTTAACCTAAAGAGGAACGTCCTGCAACAGCCTGGAGAGGAACTTTTTCATGGTGCCTTGGACTTTAGAGACCTCCTGAGGACATCCAAGCTTCAATCATGAATAGAGAGGTTACGACTCAGCATGAGAACCCTTTTTCAGGGTCAGGAGTTGTGCAGAGTTTGAGCTGGAGACCCTGAGAGCAGCTCTATGTCTGACACATCCCGGGAAGTGTGCATCGAGCCACCTGTGGAAGCAGAGCCCATGTCACAGGGAGAGGAGCTTACAGGGAGGTCCTGGCTACATAGGAAGGAGTAGAAGCACAACCCAGAGTTTCAGGGTGTACTCGGGCATGTCCTATGCCCAACTACCATGCCCTCCTGAGCAGGAAGGTGGGGACAAGAGCTCATGACCTGAGAAGAGCCATCAAGGCAGAAGAACAGGCTTTTCAACCAGAAAAGGAGGCTGGGCCAGGGGGAGCTACAGTAGCTGTCAAAAACTCTAAAGTGTTGTCTTTGCCTTTTGTGGCCACAAGGGGATTTCAGGGTCCAACAAGAAGAGGGAGTAACAGGATTAGCCGGGACCCTGAAAGCCAGCAGCTCGAGCAGAGGGTGGGATGTTGTGGGTAGTGGTGAGCAGCTCCTCAGCCTCTGGAGGACGGCCAGGTCTGACCTCATACTAACTCCATGTCCAGGGACTGACTCTGCATGGGGGTTGGGGGGGGGGTTCACAATACAAAAAGGCTGCAGAAAATCAGAACTGTTCACTTTCTGCCAAAGTAGAAATGCACCATATATGCCGATCTCCTTGGAAATTCACTAGGTGGAAAATTCAGAGAGTAGCACCCAGTCAACCCTGCCCCAGTCCCACAACAGAGCACATGTTTGGGGTAAAGGCAGAGCAGTCAGCCATTGGCTAGCATAGACCAAACAGAGCTCCCACCTTCCACACTCCTCTCTGCACAGAAGGAAAAACTGAGGCCAGAGATGGGAAGGGTGGTGCAAGGCCACACAGGAACCAGGTACACATCTAGCAGTTCTTCCCTCTCCAGCAGGGGCAGAAACTTGGTGTTTTGAGGAGCCAGGCAGTGATGGTGATGAATGTGGGAAATCGCCAAATTTAGATAATAGGAAGGGGGAGGGAACGTGTAGAAACTGAAGAGCGAATGCTCTGGTGAAAGGCATTTCAATTTCATTTTTCAAGAACCCACACAAGGGCTGGGGATGTGACTCAGTGGCAGAGAGCTTCCATAGTGTGCACGAGGTCCCAGGTTCAAACCCCAGCACCAGTAAATCAATCAATCAATCTGGGCCATAAAGGGCAGCATGCTTCCCCCCTGTTCAACGGCCATTTTGGTCAGACTCTGAGGGAAGGAGGAAGCAGAACAGGAGTCTGGGTCTCTGTGAATTAACCTGGGGGAAAGACCGCAGCCTTCACTACCCAGGTAGCACCTAACTACGTAGCCCTAGCAGATCCAAACACACGAGGACACACTACACTCACACACAGTGGCTGACCAGTCCACTCCACGGCCCAGGCCAGAACCAGGAGCCAGGGAGCCATGACCCAGCAGCAGCAGAGAATAAAGAAAGAAGCAAGATGGATTTGAGGCAGAGTGTATTGAGAACAGGAGAGAAAACAAAGTTGGGAGAAGAGCTCAGCCCAGCCATAGGATGGAAGGTGGGCTCCTCCACGGTTGGCCCCCCCAGGGTTGAAGGGAGCAAGGGTCCAGGGCAGGGGGCTTCACCCTGTTCTGGGGAGGGATGTGGCATGAAGGAACTAAGCTCCTTTACAGCTCCCCAAGCATGCCCCCTCAGTTTGTGGTTCATGCAGAATGAGCTCACTGAGAAGGCACCCCTGTTCCCATGGAGACGAGCCCTGAGCTCACGAAAACTGCAGGCTCAGCCCAGCATGGCACCGCCTCCACCACCCCTCGCCCCTCTGGGAGCCCAGAAATAGGACTGGGAAAAAGGAAGTGGGTGGTCCTCGGCCCCCAGTCTTGGGCAGCTTCCATCTGAATCCTGCGGCTGGTATCTGTCTTTTCTTATCCCCCACAGAGTGTAGTTTGGGGGATGCATCATATCAAAGGGGCGTAGGGGGGTGTGGGGATGTCTGGCTACTTGACTCAACACCTTCACTGTGTGAATGGGGAAACTGAGACCCAAAGATTCACACCAAGTCATTTCATTAGAATCCAGGTCTAAGTTCAAGACTTCCCTCAAAGCCTTAGGGTCTTTACTGTCCCTTCCCCCAGAGCTGCTGTGGGCCTATCCCAGCCAACATCATTTCCACAGGCAATTCCGACCTGAGTCACCCCAGCCCAGGCTTCTGAGCCTTTGGCCTCCTGCAGCAGCTCATTCTAACCATACCTCACCGGGTCATCCTCACAGACATCTAACTCCGTCTATCCTGTTTCCTTTTTCTGTCTTCCCAGGGACTATCTTGTCACTCACAAGCCCTTCCTCGCAAAGCACCAGCCTATCCTTTCAATCCTCACAGCTTATCATGGGGAGGAGCCTTTATTGTATAGATGAGAAAACTGAGGCTCAGAGAGGGAAGTGACTTGGCCAAAGTCACACAGCAAATGGAAGGCCTGGATGGGACCTCCTCCTCTGCCTTTCTCCCTGGGGCCTGAGCCCATGATACCTCACACAGGAGCCGCCCTCCTAGCAGTACACACACATTTGCACATCATTCCCTCAGGGATCCCCTGGGATGTCCCCCACCCCCCAACAGAAGGGCAAGCCAGGTGGAGCAAGACTGGGGCCTAGGCCAGGAGTCTCCCTCAAGTGGAGCCAGGTCTCGGAGAAGGTGCAGAGGCAGCTGGGGAGAGCAGGAAGAACAGCAGCAGACAGCAGTGGTGGGCCAAGTCCGCGTCCAGCAGGAAGCCCCGGGAGAGAAGAAAGGGTGGAGGCCAGGCAGGCTGTCTGAAGCAGTGAAGAGGAGACGTCCAGAGGCAGAGGGAGAGACAGGCCTGCAGAGGTGAGAATCCAGCAACAAGAAGGAAGATGCCAGGAGCGTGGGCCACCTGGGGAGGCCTCCAGCCGGCTGAGCAGGCAGACCCCTGGCTGGCAGAATCCTCAGGCACTGGTGGCTCTGTCTGCTCCAGAAGTCCCCCTTAGCATCCCCTGTCCTGGCCATTCCCCAGCGAGTCGCTGGCCTCAGACTGGCAGCCCTGCAGCTCGCCAAGGCTGGAAGAAGCCGCTTGGCCTCATCGTGGCCTGCCAGCGGGAAGCTCTCTCTGTGACCCTCCTTCCCACCCCGACATGGAGTCCAGGACCCCTTGTAGTGGAGAAGAGGCTGCTGTAGCTCAGAGAGGGGAGGCAGCTTGCCCAAGGTCACATAGCTAGCTGGCGACAGTGCAGACCTTGAACCATGGACTCCCCATCCTCCTCACTAGGCCCTGGGCCGCTTCCTGCCACCTGTGCTCTCCACCTGGCCCTTGGAGAAGGGGCCTGGACAGGCAGTGGGACCCTGGTGGGGTCCGTTACTTGAAGCAGAAGGAAGGCTTCCACACCTGAGCCTCGATCCCTGCGTTCCGGGTAGAGAAGGAGGGCCTGGGAGCCTGCTTGGCGCGGGGAGACCATGCCCGGGAGGGAGACACGGGGGAGATATCGCTGCTATAGGTGGGGCTCACGGCAGTGGGCTGGAGGCCGTCCTGGCCAGGTGAGGTGTAGAGGCCTGGGGAGGATCGCGAAGGCCGAGGCAGTGCAGGAGACGGTGGGAGACCCGCCTTGGGCAGGTTGGGCACTAGGTCCAGGGAGCTGGGCTTGGCAGGGGAGGCGGCTCTTGGTGAAGAGGCTCTTGAGGAGGCAGCTCTTGATGAGGCAGCTCGAGGGGAGGCCTTGGCAGGTTCCTTGATGGGTGAGAGGACAAAGAGAGAGGGCCGCATCTGGTATGGGGGCTGCTGCTTGGTGGGCTCTGGACGCAGGACCCCATTCTCAGGCAGGTAGCCATGGTAGAGGGAGGCAGGGGGCGTCCGCGCTGGGCTTAGGGATGCCACTCGGAAGCCGGGGGCATTCGTGGAGTATTTCCAGGAGGAAGGCAGGGACATGGTGGGTGAAGGGCAGCGGGCCAGCTCAGTGTGGCCTGAAGACTCAATGACATACTTCTCCATCCGCGACTGGCGGCGGGCGTAAAGCTCAGCCCCCTTCCCGGAGGCCTCCGAGAGGTTCTGGTTGGGTTTGGGCTTGGGCTTGGCCTGGATACGGGGCGACTTGAGGCAGGAAGCCCACTCGGGGACAGCCTCCTCCGCGGCTGCAGGGCTGCCCCTGTCCCGAGGGACTGGCTCCTGCTGGAAGTTGGACGCCTCCGCCCCCAGCGCGAAGGGCTCCTCCTCCACACCGGCCTCGCCTTGGTCCCTCTGCCTCCGCTTCTCATCCGCGGTCTGTACCAGGTCCAGCAGGTCTGGATTGGGGGTGACCTTTGGCTTCTCCACAAAGGTGAACATGGATTTTCGACTGCCTCTGCGGATCATCGACTCCTCCAAAATGCCCGTCTTGCTGGCGGGAACCGCCTGGCCCTTCAGATGAGAAGGCTTGGGGTCGGAGCTAGGGTACAGGGCAGAATAAGACGGGGGAGACCTAACCCGGGAAGCCGGGGGTGCCGCGGACAAGGTCTCTGCATAGGTGGGCGGTGGGGTGAAGTTCCCCAAGGGGCGTCTCTCCAAGGCCGGGCTTCGCTGCCCCACCAGCCTCCTTTCCACCATGGGGCTGTGGGACATGACATGTCTCTGTGGCCGGGGACTCCTATCTACCATGGTGGGGTGCTGGGGAGCAGGGGCCTTCTCCCCAAAGTGTCGTCTCTCCAGCATGGGGCTCCGCTCTATTTGGTTAGTGCCCCCTGGTGCCTGGATCCCAAAAGGCCTGGCCGTCCTGTTCACCACCGACTGGGGCTTGGCCAGCGTGAGATGGACCTCGCTGTACACCTTGGTGGGTGTAGTGGCTGCTGGCCGGGCAGTCATCTCTTGTTCCGTTGACATCACTAGGGTGCTGGGCTGCACATCGATGAGCAGGGAGCTGGACATGAAATCTGAGGTCAGCGGCCCAGAGCCCTGGATGGGAGTAGCTTCTCTGGAGCAGGTGCTGGTGGCAGAAGGTGGAGTCGAGACCTTGTCAATCAGGAGCATACCGGATCTCACCTCCTCCAGCGGTGCCTGGGGCTGCCCATCGGCACACAGGGTGCTGGGTTTGGAATCTGGCACCGTGCCATTCTGTGAGCACTGTGCCTCAGGGGAATTCTGTTGGGTGCTAGAACACGGCAGGCTCTGGGGGGTGACGGTTGCTGGGGGGTTCTGATTGACATCGGTGGCTGGCAGGTTGCGGTTGCTGTTAGGAGCTGGTGTGGTGAGCACGGCACTGGGCGAGGAAAGGTTTTGGTTGACATCTGTAGCTGGGCTGTGGACTTCCGCTGGAGGAGGGCTGGGCGAGGACTCTTGGGTCTCTCTGTTCTGGGACAGATGAAGCCCATTGGCCGTCAACAGGGCTGCGTTCTCCTTTAAATAAACCACCAGTGGTACCTCTTCCTCCTCACTGGCCATCTTCTCCAGGTGCTGCAGCAGGCTGGTCTCTTCTGAGTACCCCTCCATCCTGGGTGCAGAGACCCCTCTGTGGCGGGTCTCAGGGTCTGGGTGCCTGGAAGGGCCTGGCTTGGGCAGCAAGGTGGAACTCAAGTTGAGACCTGGGGCATGGCCTGGGGGGCTTGCAGAGGGCTCTCTGGGGGACTCCTGGCCAGGCTTCTGTACCCTCTGGCCGTGGCTTTCCAAAGTGAACTCGTTCACTCTCTGCCGGCGCCTGTTGAAGAGCTGGACGCCTCGGGAATTGGAGCTGGGAGGGGTGGTCAGCTGGGCTGCAATCTGCTGGCTCAGAGCCTTGGCCTCTTTCAGATCCTTCTCAGTGAAGCTAGTGCTCCGGCCCAGTGCTGCAGGGAGGAACAGAGGCCCGGTTAGGAAATGGGAATGCAGCGCCACAGGGGAATGCAGACAGGTGGTCATCCACGCCCTCCTACACATGACCTTTTCCTCTAGAATTTGATCTTTACTCACAGTTTCCTAGAACCAGCTCATGACCTAACTGAAGATACATGACCCAACTTAAACACGACCACCTCTGGGAAGCCTGCCGTGATTTCCTTTTCAGTATTAACTGTCCTGCATTTGGATTGCCCCCAAAATCTGTTGGTGCAGCACGTCACCAAACTGAGCCTGAACACCTTACTGTAGAAGTCAAGACCCCATTGAGCTGGGATGCCTCCTCCACCACCCTCTTCTCTCCACACTCTGCTGCTTTCTTTTCGTCCCTTGAAAATGACATGAGTGGTCCAGACCCAGAGCCTTTGTTCATGCTGTTCCCTCAGCTTGCAATAAGATCTCTCCCTAGATGACACTCCCTGATGGTTCCTTCTTGCTACTCAGGTCTCAGCTTGGATGCCACCTCTCTGGAGAGGCCTTCCGTTCTCCTATCCCATCTCTCTGCTTTATTTTGTTCCTAGCATTCACCACAATTTGAAATGGTCTTCTATGTATTTCCTTGATTATCACGGTCTCCTCACCTAGAGCTTAGCTGCCAGGAGATGATGGCCTTGCCCAACTCGGTTATCTTTCTAACCCTGGCCCCTAGTGTGGTGCCTGGCCTAAAGTGGGCACAGAGTAAGATTGCTGACGGCAGGGCTGGGGTTGTGGCTCAGAGGCAGAGCACTTGCCTAGCCTGTGTGAGGCACTGGGTTCAATTCTCAGCACTGCATATAAATAAATAAAATGAAGGTCCATTGACAACTAAAAAATATTTTAAAAAGATTGCTGACCGTACAAAAGAGCCCCAGGAGTATTTTCTCTGTGCCGTTGTCCCTCCCTCTCTTTTTTCAGTACTAGAGATTGAACACAGGAGTGCTCTACCACTGAGCTACACCCCTAGCTCTTTTTTATATTTTATTTTAAGAAAGTGTCTCCCTAAGTTTCCAGACTGGCTTTGAACTTGGGATCCTCCTGCCTCAGCCTCCTCAGTCACTGGGATTATGGGTGTATGCCATCACCCCCGGCTCTATGTCCCTTTCTTAGGTTCCTTTACACTTTCAAGCTCATGGTAATTTTCTTTGATCTTATAGAGTTGCCACTAACATTTCTTTATAGAATAGGTGATACATTCACATTTCATTTATAAAAATAAAGACATAAAAATGGTCTTCAGTGAAAAGCATCCGTTCCTGATTACTCCACATCACAATCACAGAGCCAACTGTCGTCTGTTTCTTCTATGTCCTTTCCAGGGTTACTTCCTGTTTTTATCTAACTGGTCATTTAAAAATTCACATATTTTAACACTAGAAAAGTATTAAATCAGGCTAATTTAGCAGGGACCTCACTAGAACATTGCATCCTTTCACTTGCCCACCACGAGACAAACGTTAGTTGCCCCTGTTTTGCAGAACAGAAAACCAAGGTTCGGAGAGTTGTAAGTAACTGACACCAAGGTCACACAGCTAAGGGTGGAAAAGCTGGAATCAGTTCACGGCCCACGCTCCAAGTCCCTTGGGAAAGCAGGAGGGGGACAGATCAGTGCAGGGTGCAGGTCCAGTCTGGGGCTGAGGTCAGGGATCAGGCTCACTGTGGGCAACCATTTCTCTTTCTCTCCCCAGTGCCCACTCGGTACCCAGTCAGTGCTCAATTTGTGCTTGTTGAACAACGCACGAACAAATGGACACATGAACAAATGAACCGACGGACAGATGGATGGATCAGCCTGTGGCCAGGGTCATGGGCTTTGTCAATGGCTGAGAAAATTCCTTCCTCTGTCACCCCTTTCCCTGATACTGTGGGAAGCTAATTAGTTCTTGAGGAATGTGACCTTGCCCTCCCTCCCACTTGCCCTCATTAGTGCTGGCCCTGGCGTGCTGAGTGGGTCTCCAGGGACAGTCTTTCTAGGCACCCTGCCAGCCTGGCTCAGAATTCCAGAACTCTTGGAGCTGCAAGGGCCCTTAGAGAAGAGCTACTTCACTGCCACTCCATTTTATAGATGGGGAAACTGAGGTCCAGAGAGTAGCCCAGGGTAGCGCCTCTGACTCTGGAGTCAAGGGGGAGGCCAATAGAGGATCTATGCTGGTTTCACTGGGTCCAGGCCAAGCAGCTTTGAGGCCCCAACTCCTTCTTCCCTGCTTCCCTTAAGGCCTGGATCTCCCCCACTTGTTGGACACTGTGAACACACACAGCCCACCCCACCTGCCCACGACACCTGCGGCCCCTGGGAGGACTTCTCTCCTATTGTGTCACCTCATCAGTAAAAAAATGAAGGGCTAGAGCGGGGGCCGTAGCTCAGTGATAGAGCACTTGCCTTGCATGTGAGGTACTGGGTTCGATCCTTAGCACCACATAAAAATAAATAAATAAATAAATTTTTTAAAATGAAACATGCAGTGGTGCACGCCTGTAATCCCAGTGGCTCAGGAGTCTGAGGCAAGAGGATCACAAGTTCAAAGCCAGCCTCAGCAACTGCAAGGCACTAAGCAACTCAGTGAGACCCTGTCTCTAAATAAAATACAAGATAGGGCTGAGGATGTGGCTCAGTGGTTGAGTGCCCCTGAGTTCAATCCCCAGTATCCCCCATCCAGCAAAAAAAAAAAAAAAAAAAAAAAAAAAAAAAAAAAAAAAAAAAGAAAGAAAGAAAAAGAAAAAGGGTTAAAACCAGGCTCAGTGGCTTATGCCTGTAATTGTAATTCCAGCTACTCAGGAGGCAGAGGCAGGAGAATCTCAAGTCTGACACCAATCTGAGCATCTAAGCAAAAGCCTGTTTCAGAAAACCAGAGGGCTGGGATTTAACTCCGTGGTACCAGGGCCCATGAGACCACAAAAAAAAGAAAGAAAACAAGGTCCAGCTAGGATGCCCCCCAGGGAGCTGTAATGCGGGACACCAGCCACACAGGGGCCATGAGAGGCTGCTCGGCCCATGCAGGGTCTGTTCCTGCTCTGCTTGGAACCCAGACCTCTTGCCTGAATCCAAGCCATTTGCTAGCTGTGTGACCTAAGCAGGCTCCTGCATCTCAGAGCCACGGTCTCTGTAACTGAGAAGGGGGTGAAAGCACTTGATGTCAGTGTTGGAAGGTCACATGAAGTCATGAATACCAAGGGCTTAAAGTCATCAAGCCCGGGTGGACAGAGCAGAGGGCTCATGCCACCCTGGGAAGAGTTGGCAATTGGTGACCCTACTCTACTCCCTGAAAGGGGTCAGATGTGCTTCTAGCAAAGGAGATTTGCCTTTGCTAGGATACCACCGCAGAGGATCCCAGAATTATGGGGAAGAAGAGTTTCACAGAATCTCAGTGGCAACCAGCACAGGGTCCAATTCCCTCACAATTTCTGCATCTCCCAAAACACACCCCTTGACATGGGTTCCCTACCCTAGGGAGGTGCCGTCCACCCGTGTACATTCTTCAGTAATAAACTGCCACTCACTTCCCCCACTAGGTGTGTCTCCGCGCCCCCAGCACCACACAGATATGAAAGGTTCCTCCTTCCAGCCTGACAACCCTGCACACATTCACAAATTCAAATCACGGGACAAGATCAGGATAATCAAGTTCCACCAATGTTTCTTATGACCCAATGGCAATGACAGCAGCTAAGTTTTACTGGGCACAAACTGAGTCCCTCTACACATAGTATTTAATTCTCCCAACAATCCAATCAGGTACAAATGTGTTACTATGCATCTTTTAATGATAAGAAAACCAAGGCTCAGAGAGGTAAAGTGAGCTGCCCAACATCACAGAGCCAGAAGAGGAGAAGAGCTGGGTTCACACCTGGCTCCATATGGCTACAGAGTGCCCAGCTCCTGACCGGCAGGTGCCCACAGAGTGAGACTCCTGAGAAGTGCTTCAGGGTGGGAATCTTCAGACCTCCCAATGGTCTGCATCTTTCTGCTTTTCTGCTTCAATCTCATCCCACAGGCCGGCTCTAAAAGGCCGTGGATTTAGAAAATCCCCAAATGCCAGAGTGTGACAGGCCCTCAGGAATAAGCTTGTCCTGGGAGGCTCAGAAGGACAGGGTCACAGAGGAGGACATGCGCTCAGCACCCAGGTCTAAGTAGGGCTTCACGCACAGCCCGAATGCTACTGCTGACCCCTTCCCATACCTCTCTGAGCTTGTCACTGCCCCTCAAGGCACTGGACGGAGACAGGAGGAGCAGCAGGAAAGGTCAGAGGGAGTGAGCTCTGCCCCCCAGGACAGCTCCCGCACCCCCACACCAGCCTGCAGTGACTGCACAGAAAAGGAATTCAGCAGGAGGTCTGGACCAGGCCCAGCCAACAAACCAGATGATTTTTGCCACCCTGCACAAACAAAGCTGAACGAAGGGGGAGGGCTTGACCAAACACAGCCACCCTCAGTCCCTTGTCCAGGGCTCCAGGGAGCAGCTCCATCTAAAATTCCCCAGCCTAGGGAGGGGAAAAGGAGGAACTAGGGAATGCAATTGACCAAATTATGCTGTGTGTTTGTACAAACCCGCAGCAATGAAGCCCACGGTTACATATAATTATAATGCACCAATAAAAAAAAAATCTTTAAAATTAAAAATATAATTTAAAAAATTTCTCCAGACTAGGGAACCTGTAACAACAGTCACCTGGACCAACACTGGGCTCCCTAGTGTCCGAGAGGCAAGAGAGGACCAAGGGCCACAGGAGACAGACACCTCACTGAGCCCTCAATCTGCCTGGCTGGGGCCTATACCTATATGTGTAGGTCATAAGGCCTCAGCCTCTGCAGGGCCAGGTTGGGATGCTAGCCCTCTAAAGACTCACCCAGGATGTTGGATCAGGCCCTAAAGAGAGGAAGGGTGGAGGGCAGATGCAAGGAAGAGCTACCTGAGGTCAGCAGACGGGGTCCAAGAGGGTAAGCCTCCAGGTGGGGGAGGAGTAGATAGCCCCAAGTG